TCCTCATGATCAGCATGCATGTGGAATTTGGAGCAAACAATTGGATTTCAAAAAGAACAAGTGTTGCACAGTTTCTCGGAGAGCGAGACCTGACAGTGACAGTGTGTGGTTTTCCTGGCGATAGGGGGCAGTACATATCTAAATCAACGTAAGTAAGCGATATTTTTGTGTTCAAGTAAGACCTTACCAACGGATGCCCATTAGGGTCAAAAATCCCTGGGAGCGCAACCTCCAGCAAAACAACAAGCACATCAGACTCCCTTTCATCACTGGCAACAGGTGTAGAGGTAAATGTGTAAAACAACGTTTATGAATAGCGAAAATTTAGCAACCGTTTGTTACAAATCAGTAAATGTATTTTGTCCTTACAGGCTCCCGTAGAAATAAATACTGTGTCGCTCCCATATATTTTAAACCCAATTTTCATGATTATGTAAAAACTACACATTGTCTCTTTAAAAGCACATTCCTATTTGAAACTGAAATACATCCTAAGATCGTACTGACATCATGCTCAGTTACCTGTAGAAACGCTGTCGGGCTCTCCACAAAGTACTTTGTTACGGATTAGTCCTCTGTGTCATGGTCTGCGTCCTGCGTCCCCCTCATGTGTCTCCTTGTGTTCTCCAGCCCACTCCAGGTTTTCCCCTTAGGTGTTCTTCGTTGGTTTATGTGCCCCTTTAGGTCTCCAGCTCCCTCCAGGTTTCCCTCAGGTAGTGTTTTCTGATGCAGTAATCCCATCCCTGTTGGTGTTTTTCTTCTGGTGTCTTGTTTTCAGGTTTTCAGGAGTTTACTCATCTGTAGATTCATTTTACCTAGTCAGTTTTCCCCACTCAGTTAATTGGTCTCACCTGATCCCTTCTGATTACTCCCCACACACCTGTCACCCGTCTCCCTGATTGTTTCCCTTTGTGTATAAAACCCTGTCTGCGTCTCAATGTATTGTCGGTCCATTGTTTGTGTCAGCGTTGTCTCGCCCCTCCCCTCCCCTCCCCTTTTTACTCATTTTAAACATATTTTTAAGCATTTTTTATAATCTACTTTATATTTATAATTTTTGGTTTGGGAAGCACCTCGTGATTTCTATCATGAGAGGCTCTATATGAAAGATCGTTTTCTTTCTTTTTTTCTTTTAACCTGTTTATTCTTAGAATGTTAATCCCACCAGACGGATGTCATGGCTTCTGAAGAGTCACTTTGAATTTTGGATGATTTTAAATATCAAAATCAAACATTCAAACAAAGGAAGATGCGTAGCTTTTAAAGTACTTAAGTACTATCCCGCTCTTCAGCCCTACTGGTTGAAAGTGGAATTACACCTGCTACAGCCTTCTGTAGCTAATGCTAACAATGAGCTAACACTAATATAAGCCTACTATAGGGAGCCTAAGTCTCCTCCCTTTCCGGTCAGCTCACGGGTTCCCAGAAGAACAAAAAAATGAATGCAAGTCAACGGGGCTAAAAACGCTATTTTCTAATCCGCTTTGCCGTACGCCCTGGATCGCACGTTTTACTGCAATCTAAATGAAAATTAATGATGGGTGTTTCGACCATGCCAGTCACGTACTTTGAGATTTATCAGCTTGTAAAAGTTCGTAATTAGCATGACTACAAACTAGAATTCGGCACGTCGCATATGTGACATCACCACATAATCTCCTCTCCCCTAGCGTAGCTGCTACTTACCACATGACCAGAGTTATGGTGGTTCTTTCCTCCTGTGGGAAGTTTGCTGAACTTACAGCCCTTTTTCCTCAGCTTTCTCCGTGTCTGGTTCGATGACGTCACTTTCGTGAAGCGCATTTGTAGTCCTGGACTTATTTTCACACATAACCTAAAATATTGTTAGAAAATAAGCGCGTTCTTGGTATCAAAACGCTTCTTTAAAATTCACGGACATCACGTGTGAAATCCATGGCACAAAACAAGCGGAATTAGAAAATGGCGTTTTTAGCTCCATTGACTTGCATTAATTTTTTTGTTCTTCGGGGACCCGTGGTGCGGAAGTAGGTGGGCGTGACTTAGGCTCCCTATACTAAAATAAACCGTGAAGTAAAAAGATCCACACTGTCCAGTAGCAACAAAGCTAGGTCACTCTCAGTCTGTGCTTTTGTAGCCTCCGTTAGCATCCTCAGACTACTGTAGACCGCACTGACGTTTTCTCCAGTTTTAGCTCTTTGCTTCGCCTCCAAAGACATTACTCTGTTACTTCCAGGCTCCGCCACGATGCCAATAAAAAAGGAAATCTCTTTTTTTTTTCTTGTGCTTTTTATTGATGATCGGCAAACTGCTAAAGCTAACTGCTAGCAAAACAGCTAAACAATTGCTAAAACAAGTAAAGAGTGCGATTTTTGGTCAGCAGGGGGCTGCAGTGGAGTCAGATATGATAAGTTGTCTATAAAATACTTATTGTTGCTTCTTGTGGCTAAACTCAGCAGCTTCGTTAAGTTTGTTTTGTCTTTTCAGATCCTTAAAGGTAAACTTTACTCACATTTAATAGCTTTGCAGTGGTTTCAAGAAGGAATCTAGGAGGAGGAAACTCAGATTGACAGATTATAATCAGAAATGATGAGTAGAAAAGGGCTTCTCAGTGAACCTGCTATTTAAAGTGCTCAGATTTTTATGGTTAGGTGAAAAATAAAACAAAAACGTCAGTGGAGAAGCTGTAAATGTGACCGTGAATAACAGTTTTAGCAGAAATTAGACCAAGCAGTCAGTTTTAAAGCTGCTGCTGGATTTCTCTGTTTTTTTTCTTTTTTCCCCAACCTGCTGCATGCTCCCTCTGGTGCTGTCATTGTACAAGCCCCCCAACCCCCCCGTGCTCCTCTTCCTCATTAAACCAGCATCTGCTGAGGCAAGAGGCCTGAAACCCCCACCATGCACGCACCCACCCCCCACCCCACCACAGACTCTCGTGCTTGCCATCTGCCACTGACTTGGACAAGACCCGACCACCTAAACAGCTCCACCATCCACACACCCTCATTTAAAACACTCAAGTTACTGGAACACATCCCCCACCACACACACACACACACACACACACACACACACACACACACACACACACACACACACACACACACACTGACTCTAAACTCAGACTGGAGTTAGTCAATGTCGTTTTAACAAGAAGCCTCCCCCACGGACAAAAGAAACTAGTAAGCTAATGAAACTGAGAGCGATGTCAACCTGCTGCATCTGTCTTAGACCGAAGAGGAGGAGACTAGCAGGACAGAGGCCCAACAGCAAGCTCTAATTAGTCCTCTGTGGCCATCGGGTCTCTCCAGCTCTTTATTTTAAGAGGAAAGGGAGTTAGGAGGGAAATCCGAGGAGAGACAAGGACAGTGCAGAGAAAAGACTGATTGAAGATGAAACATCTCCCTGTGGCTCCTGTCTCCTCTCTTCTTGTTGTACACGATGCCCTCTCACTCTCTCTGCATTTGTTCATCGCCCCCAGTCAGTGAATAACAATGTTTCCTCACGGAGAAAAACAGGCAGAGGAGCAAGCCCGGGGCAATAAATTCAGATTGTCCGAGCGTTCCCAAGTCCCTCTCCGCTCTGGAAAAGCCCACACAGTCTCCTCCTATATCCTCGGGATGCTGTGTTGGCTTTTTTGGGCTTTTATTTACAACATGGATCACCACATTTCCCCATCTTGTAAACAACCCTGAGCCTAATGAGACACAAACATTAGACCACTGGGACGCTTGCTTTTGTCTCTCTGCACCATCCGGGCGAGTTAGCAACATCGGATGTGCTCCCTGGGGACGTTGGCTCCAGCCTGCCATCGTCGTCAGCGTCACCCAAACAGCGCCCGTGGACGGGAGAAGCCACTTGAGGAGAGATTCCCTCTCAGAGGAGCTAAAGTGGAAGAGACAGCTCCAGAGTCTCCGGCTATTTCAAACAGGGCTGCTCAGTCGTGTTTCTTTATTCTTCTTTTTGGAGGTCCGTGAACTTAATTTCTCTTTTGTTTTGCAGACTCTCCCAAATGGACTCAGATTTGTGCCTGAGTGACTCTATTTAGTTAAACTGCACACTATAAAGGCATGTTTGATTATAAAATCAGTTTTTAGGTCAGATCAGAACCCAGTAAACTCGTTCATGACCGACCCATGAGCAGCATTATAGATCTGCAGTAATAGAAGCCATTAAAGACACGCTACGCAGTTCAGTGTGTCGCTCACCGACTGCTGATGCTGGGTGAAATGGGCCGTTCTAATCCGCAATAACATAGCTAATTTCACCTAGAAAAAGGTTGATAGTGAGTCTCATTCAAAGGTCACTGGACCGAGCTGAAGCGTGCTCGCTCACGTTTCACTCAACGATATTTTCACCCTGTGTTTTTGGAAGCATTTGTTTTTTTTATGCAAGGGAGAAGAGATGTAACTGAAGCAGACAACAGGATCTCTAGGTTTTTGATTGTGCAGACCAAAGAGGAGCAACAATAAAATCAAGAGAAAGCAGGGGATAGGGCTTCAGACGTTCCTCCTCAGCCATCAAGGCTGCTGTGTTACAGCTGACCTTTGGCTGGACGGATGGAGGTGTCACAGCAGACGTGTAGCGTGTTGCTCCTCAGACGGAGAGGAGAACAGACACGTCTGACGTTACAGGGAGAAGGATGCTGTCGCATGACCTTTAAGGAGGACAAATATCTCACACCCAGCCACCTGTGATCGGGTCGCCTGCCACCAGCAGGTACACGCTGACGACAGGACGAAGATTATCCTCAACTTTTCACACAGAACTCTGGTTGCATCACATCGGACTCTTTTATCTTCTTCTAAACAGCAGCCACGTCCTTCATCCTCCAAGTAATGCTTTTTAAACATCTGACTGACGACTATCCGCTCAGTCCGACCCATTCAAATTTCAAGGCAGATTTTAGTGTGAAAACTGGTAAAACCTTAAATTAGGAAACGAGGCAGAGTTGGAAACACACGCCCCTAAACCTTCACTTGTTGACTGAGATTGACACGGATTCAGAAAGCAGAACTCACTCAGCGACTCGGCGGCGGGCGGTGATGCTCGCCACGATCACGCTCTCTGGTCTAGGAGTGGCCACAGCCTTGAAAGTCCCTTTCCAGAACTTCTCAAACAGCTGCTTTTCTCTCAGCTTCTGCAGGCTGGCGGTGGTGTTCGGCGATCCCAGCGGTCCGGATGGATCGCTGCGGTCAAGCTGAAGTGGCTGCATTTTTTATTGCTGATCTCCAAACTCTATCTGCTTCAGTCCCTCATCAAACACCTGCTCCTCGCTCTCCTGAAAGCCCAGGATTCCTCGCTCAGGAACTGTCCAAGTACTGAATCACAGCGAGCAGAGCGCAGCGGGCTGTTTCTACCCGCCTCTCCTCTCTGCGGCGGGTCAACGTGCCAGCGTGTCTGTCTGCTCTCAGCCTGGGGAGAAGGACAAAAGCTGACCCGCTCCAGCTGGAGGCTTGGTATTGTTCCCGAGGATGAGGAGGGGTGAGGAGGATCGGGTTTCCTCCTCCTCTGTCACATCTGCTGCTCTTTGGGATGGGGTCCGGTGTTGGGAGCTGGAGCTGGAGAGCTCCCGTTCCGTCACTCAGACTGAAATATTCCTTTGGATGGTTTGTCAGAAGGAGTTAGTGGTTTTCTTCCTCTAGTGTTTTGCCGTGAGGAGACGGTTCACCATCACGCATGTCAGCTGAGCGAGTGATGAAGCGAGTGCTGCAGCGTGTCTGAGGGCAGGTTTGAGTGAGTTGGAGAGACTGTGTGTGTGTGTGTGTGTGGCGGTGTGTGTGAAGAGCTCAGCTGAGAGCGGCTTGTTTTGTTTCTGCATCTGTGACGTCAGAAATGGGGGCGGGACTCTGGAGGAGGGCCACCGCTGTGTGTGTGTGTGTGTGTGTGTGTGTGTGTGTGTGTGTGTGTGTGTGTGTGTGTGTGTGTGTGTGTGTGTGTGTGTGTGTTGTATTATTTAGCTTTACCCTACCATGTGTTTGGCTACTTTTTGCTTTTAACAGTTTGCCATACTTAGGTTTCTGTTGGTTTTCAATTTCAAATACTTTTTCTTTAGATTTGCTTTTGTCTTATAGGGCAATACTTTTTTCAATTGTTTAAGTTATTTTAATTTTTCTTAATAATATGTGTTTGAAATCAAGAATTTGGAGAATTTGTCATTTTCTAAAATGTTGTTTTAGCATTTTTAAAGTAATGGCTGACTTGATTTGTCTCAGTAACAGATGATAAAGTCCGAGTGGATTTGAACCGGAACTGACTCGAGCCCCCAGGTGCACCTTTCAGTTAAAAAGCACAACCATCCATCACAACCAGAAATAAAGCTACAACGTAAACAAAAGTATCATCGGCAAAGCAACAAGTTCACAGAGCCGCTGAACATGTTTAAGTTTAGCATATTTAAAGAAATTTTAACAAATTTATCATCTTTTCTATTTTCTTAACATTATTCCATTATTCCATTATTCCATGGGGCTCCTCAGAAACATGTAGATGCTACTTTTGTTGGCTTTAATAATGAAACTTTGTCGTTGGAAAGACTTTGTTAAAACTAACCCTAACTTTCACATCCAAAAGTACGAAGGAAGAACATTTCTAAAACTGAATGATTTATCTTTTATTATTGTTTTTTTTACCCTGTGATTTGTATGTTGAATTCAAAAAAAGGTCTGCACAGATGTAAACTGTGTCAGTACTTTCCTAACCCTCCAGCAGAGGCTCGGACAAAAGAGTGGAGGAAATCAGAATAACAAAAGGTCTTTTTCCTGGAGAGCCGGAGCATGTGGCTGAAGCGATCCGCCTGGGGGGGGGTTCCCCTTCCCAACCGTTGCTTACATCCTAGTTTCCTCCAGTCTGTCTCATCACAACACACAAGTGCAGCTCCACCATTCCCTCTTTATGTCTCAACTCTCTCCTCGTGATGCTTCCTGTAACCAGGTGGACTCGGTTTGGTGGGAAGCTTTAATTCTACTGGGATAACCTTCTGTTCAGCGTCAACACTCCAAATTAAAAACGTTTGTTTATCGGCTTCAAGGTTACAAACCAAAAACATTCAGACAAACTTACAACCGTATTCCGATTTTAACCAATCAGCTTTGCTGTTTCTCTTTGCATGAAGCTTTTTGATTATCTACGTGATTTATGATCTCTTTGGTTTCCTGCTTTGGCTCATTAAATATCAATCCAGCTACAAATCACACTTAGCGGTCCTCCAAAGCATAAACATAAATATTTAGATTGATTTTGAATTTCCCAACCAGCCAATAGCGGCTCCATTAATCCAGAAAGCTGCGAGTTCTCCAACATCTACCATCGTTTCTTCTTTATCAGAAAGATCTATAAACAAAATCCGCTTCAGACCTTGGTGGGATTCACAAGGACTGCTCCTTAAAACATCGTTGTTTTGTTAAATGAGCCTGTTGAGGAATAAAAAGGCCTAATTTCTTGCACAACGACCATCGAGAGACTCGCTGAAAAGCGGCATTGTTTCGTGGCAAAACAGAACAGATAACTCCTCTCAGCAATGCGTCACTTCTCTGCAGCAAAGTTTTAAAAGAATCTCAAGGTGAATTCAGCATCAGATCCTTGGATTTATGCACAAAAGTGGATGGTTAAAATTCTCGCCTCGAGACACGATGTTCAAAAAAAAAACGTAAGGATTAAATGCAGCGGAGGCAAATGTATTATTTATTTGATTTTCTGTATAAATATACAATATTACCTTGCTTGATCTTTATTGTAAATATCAGAAGATTCTAGGATTTTTGCTTTATTAAGTAGTTATACACACTTCGTGCAGAAAAGATTCAGGTTTATAAAGTAAGAAATTATCTTATTACAATTATAACATGCTAAGTGAACTAAACATTTTCTGTGATTGGATGAAGCTAAAGGTGATGAAGGCTATGTGTCAATGTGTTGCTGGTCAGAACTTCCGAATCTCAGAGAGGAGAGTCCTGGATGTAAAAGAATTTGGTCTGCGTTAAACTCTGAGGTTGATCGTTATCAAAAACACATTCAGACGCAGTCTCTCTGTGTTCTACCTCACCCTTGATGACCCTCGTCACGGATCCGGAGGTCAGAGAGGTCGGATGACCTCGGGGCACCCAGGTCCGGTAGATTGACCACAAGCACTGACTTCTCCGGTCCAAAAGATGTCACCAAGCAGCGCAGGTTGTAATCAGCTGGCGTCTCAGGAATAATTCTTCAGGAGTTGAACAATATCAGCTTTGTTCTGCTGGAACTGTTTGCTGTCTCAGCTTAGTAGGTGCAAAAAGGTTTTGACGACGTGTCAAAATCTTAGATGGTTAAAGAAATTTGGCTAAAGATGGCCGGTCTGAAGCTTTCTCTAGAACTCACAAATCACTCAAAGTTATCCAGTTTTAAGGAATTGATGTTATGATTTTAACAGCCAATCAGAGGCTGACAAGTTTGGAAAAGTTTAACCCTTCATTAAATTGTATTTCATAGCCAGTTTCTTATAACATTTTTTATCCTCAGTCACACAAACATAATTTACACTTTTTACATACCCCCCCCCCCCCCCCCAACATTCACACCTCCCAGTTTACCAACAATAGACAATTACAATCAACACCCTTACAACTTTTCTTTCTCCTCCATATAATTCATTAGTATAATTTTTTATACACATCTTTAAACTTATGCGATGACGGACTTTGCTTTAGATCCCCACGTAGCTTATTCCAAACTTTTACACCTGTAACAGAAATACAAGATGACTTTAATGTTGTTCTAAAATATCAAGCCTCCATAAGTCGGGTCTGGAAATGAAGCAAAACAGGAAGTGACAAAAGTTGCAGTTCCACCCTCATCCACTAGGGGCTGGTGTCAGAAGCGAGCAAATCCTCATTGACTCCCATGTTAAAAATACCAATTTCACAGCAGAAATAAACATGTTTACAGCCTGGTACCAGAACATGTTTATGGTTTAAATGATCTAGTTTACACTCATGACAACTCTGAGGGGGGTGAATTTTTTTCTCACTCTTCTGTTTAAGTGTATTAAAAGCCTAAAATTCTGTATAATTAATGAGCATCAGACCCACGTGACCACAGAGCTAGCTCCGTGGAAAGGCCTCAGTAGAGCCTCGGTCTGGCCTGGAAACTGCTCCGGGATTTTGAGTCTCTGTGTGTGTGTATTCTTGTTTGGATATTTTTGTGCAATTGTTGGACAAAATGACTTGCTGTGGCATTAATTGCACTAATAGAGCGTCCAAGGAGTCTCCACTTCATTATTTTCGGTAAGTAAAATTATATTTATGTATTTTAGGTCACTGCCGAGCTGAGCTTAGATTTTAACATGTACTGTTTAACCATGAAATTTAAATGTAATAGGGTAAAACCCAGTGCATTTAACATAATGCTGCACTTTAGAAAATGGGTTGAAATATAACATGTTGGTGGAGCTGGGTTCCCACTATCGGTATGGTCCCCTCCCCTCAGCGGCAGCTCGGCGCATCTCTGACCACACCGGCGCTTGTCTGCTGTGCGGCTGCTGGCTTGTGGAGCTCTCGGAGACCTCCGTGTTCCACCCGGTTTTACCCAGCGGTCAGCCCGGCGTATCTCTGACTCAGAAGCTCCAGTGTTGTGCACAGTTAACTCCGGTTGTAGCTAGGGTGCTACCGCCGTTAGCTTAGCTCCCACCTCCGCGTTAGCTTGTAGCTACATCGCTTCAGTTCGACGGGTGTCGTCATTTGATCCCAGCCTTACACCCTCAGCTCCACCTCTTTTCCTTTTTTTGCAATTGTCTGGGCTTGACGGAGCCTGTGACACGGTCAAAATGGCGGTGGTGGCCACCTCCCATTTTGGCACAAAAACTTATAATTGGAGCCTACGGACACGGACTGACCAGTATACATGTCGATGTAAAATATTTATGCCAAAAGTGATGTTTGTATCTGAGCAGGATTGATGGTTTATCCCTTGAGGTCCACGTGGCGGGGTGAGGTGGTGCTCATCCTCGCTGGACACCAGAAGGTGTCGACTCAATCCAGGGATGATTACTTTGGCTTGGGCACCAGTAGATCACTTCTGTTGAATTTTTCATGTTGAACTTATGAAGATGAAATTCTGCAGTTGAAATTTTACAGATGACATTTTTACGGGCGTGTGTGTCATACACAGAAAAAATTCTGTTTCATAGATTCAATGTCTAAAAAAAGTCATTCTGGTGAGACTGTATTACTTCTATAGACGACCTCCTGCTGAGTTTGGATGAAGAGATTCTCCGCAGGCAGCCGTTTCATTTGAGATGTCACGAAGGACGGGGAGAGCTATTGAAAATGTAGAATTGGTTAAAAGACAGTGATGCTTTTCCCAGACGTACAGATGCTAAAGTGTTTTAAAACATCTAGAGATCTTTGTACTCAACATATAATAGATATTTTGTTTTTTTTTGCATCAAATAAATTCAATAAATATGAAATCAGAAAGTTGTTTTATTTGCTTCCTTTTAAGGTAAACCATATTTCGTCTGAACTTTTGTAAAAGACAGCAGAAACGTTTTAATGAGGCGGACGCCGCTGCTCTCCTGAAGCTGCAGTAATTGCAGTTATTAGAGCAGATGAAGTCATCTGTATGGATTTTTTTATGTTGTGAATCTTTTCAACAGAAACCAAACGAGAAAAGGCAAATTGTTCAACAGTTTTGTTTTCCCCGGAGAAAGCAGATTGGGTTCTTTATGTGTGATTCTGCCTCGGATGAATAATAATAATAATAATAATAATAATAATAATAATAATAATAAAAAGTTAAACAAACTTTCAACCTGCCTTCAAAAGCC